AGGACCTGCTGGTGCAGGACCCCAGCATCTGGCGCCCAAACAGGGACCCCTAGGTAAGCCCCACTCTCGGGATGGATAGGACTCCACCGTAGGAAGAGGGTGGATAGTCTTCGCTGACTCCGTCCACACCTTTGGGAACCCCTGGAACAGGATTCCCCTAGGTAAGCCCCCCCCCCACCATTGAGAACCCCACACTCGGGACGGATAGGACTCCACCAGGGTACTGCAGACCCCCCTATAGAGGATAAGTAGGGTAAGAAGGTGGATAGTACAGAACTTAGATTGAGAAGATGTGCCATACTGAGTCCAAAGAAAGAAGACTCTGTATTGATCTTAGATTAAGAAGATGTGCCATACTGAGTCTAAAGAAATAAGACTCTGTATTGATCTTTTAACACATATGCTTGCTAGCAGAGGAATTAAGGTTACTCCCAGTCAGACAGAACGTTTTATACTAGAAGTATGTCCATGCTTTTCTGAGGAAGGAAAGGTAAATGTAAAGACATGGGAGGAGGTAGGCCCAAGGAGCCTTATCCTTAACCCCACTGCAGCCTTTCCACCCCGGGAAAGTGCAGGATTGGCAAGCTCTCCCTGGGGTGATAGATCAGGACTCAGGTAATAGCAGAAAGCGCCAATCCTACTCTTAAAATGGATACAAGAGAGCATTTGGGGTTTTCCTTTTTAATGCCTGCTTTTAAAAAATAAAAAAGGGGGAATTTGCCGGGAGCCGGTCCATCCTTGCTGTTTCAAGGGACCTGGCATATATGGCATACTGTTCTTAATATGTTTGCTCACCTTCTTGGCACTATGTGTTTTAACCAAGGTCACCTCTCTGAGAAAGGTTGTTTCCCCAGGTAGAGATTTTCCCCTGAAGTTAGGGAGGGAATAAAACCCCTTAACTAAGTGCCAGGCGGGTAATTAAACACTTTAACTACAAACAATCATGCTTAAGCTACATAATCTTTACTCCCTGGAATGGAGATAAGACGCCCTAACCTTTGGAATAGAGATTGATAGGATTGGAATCAACTGGTATAAATACAGATGTAACAAGACAACAGGACACAGAACCTAGACACAGAACCTAGACACAGAACCTACACAGAACCTACAGACAGAAGAACTTCGCTGGAGAGAACATGGCAAAGATCCTGGACAGAAACTGGCCTCAGAACGTAGAGACAGAACCTAGAGACAGAACCTAGCGAGAGAACATGGCAAAAGATCCTGGACAGAAACTGGCCACAGAACCTAGAGACAGAACCTAGCGAGAGAACCTGGCTGAAGAACCTAGAGACAGAACCTGGCTACAGAATCTGGATAGAACATGGCAAGAGAACCTGACTAGAACCTGGTGACTGAACCTGGCTGGAGAACCTGGACAGAACCTGGCTGGAGAACCTAGCGAGGGAACATGGCTACAGAACCTGGCTGGAGAACCTGGAGAACCTGGCTGGAGAACCTAGCAAGAGAACATGGACACAGAACCTGGCTGGAGATCCTGAACAGAACTTCGCTGAAGATCCTGACCAGAACTTGGCTAGAGATCCTGGCTAGGCTGCTGATCAACTGAACGCTGTCTCCGTGTCATTCCTTCTTCGCTGACTCCGTCCACACCTTTGGGGACCCCTGGACCTGCTGGGGCAGGACCCCAGCACATAACACCAAGATGTGATAGCGATTAAAGAATCTTCAGAGAAATTGAAGGGCCAGTGGATTGAAACACATTTTGGTAGCTTAATAGGATTTGTTTCCAATGGGGGTGGGGGGTAACCCTAAACCTACTCACAACGGTTCTCAAAGTTTTGTTAGTACAACAACTACACGAGATATCTGTGAAAATGCAGATTCTCAGGCTTCTGAGTACTTGCTCTGCATTTTAAACAAGTGTCCCAGATGATTCCCAGACCACTGTTTGCTACTGAAAAGGGCAGAGGCCTAGAATTGCTGTGAAGATATAGTAAGTGATTAATAAATATTTAAATCATTCCAAAAGATTGCGCTTCCTTATTTGCTTCTACTGTTGTGTGCAACTTGCTAGGTGCCAAAGCTTGGAAAAAGGTTTTTTTTTTCTTGGAGAAAGTTTAGGTAAGTTAAATATAAATATGTAAAATGAACAAGACTGTTCAGTGAACATATGTAGTTCTCATCCAAAGTTTTAGTGTTCAGAAATTTTCTGATTATAAGACATAGTCAAATAAAAGTTTAGTATTCATTCATTCAAAAAAAAAAAAAGTTTGGATTAGTTCCAGTATAATCCCCAAATCATGATTTCAGAATCACACTATATTTAGATATGTAGAAAAACAAAATGAGAGTTAATTAAATGAAAAATAAAAGTGGGTGTTTTTGTGTTTTTTTAAAAATCAAACTTTTCTACATACAATAGGGAAAGCATTTAGTTGAAAGTTTGGTGCTTAAAAGACTTTACTATTGCATGGTATTCTTAGTAAATAGTCTGAAAAGAAAATGAAAAAGGTGGTTCCATAGCAAATGTCAACTTGCCAGACATGTGAGAGAGCCGCCTTGTAAATGGATTCTCCAGCTCCAAACAAGTCTTCAGATGACAACAGCCCTAGCCAACATCTGACTACAATTTTATGAGAAAGTGAAACACAAATGCCCAATTGAGCCACTCTTTAATTCCTTACTCACAGAAATTGTAAGAGATTATTTTTATTGTTTGAAGCCACTAAGTTTTTTGATATTCAGGAATCAAATAGGTAATGTATTATCAATAACAAACATTTATCGCTACTGTACAAAGTATCCTGCTTATGCGCTGAACCATATGATCATTCAAGGTAACTTCTTGCTTTATAACTTTAATGTTTTAACAGTTTGACATGTCATCAACTGTATATCTTTTCCTATAAAATTCTTATGAGACAAGAAGACTCAGCCAATCAAATATTTAGCAAACATCCATTAAGTTCAAAGTATTATTCTAGGTGCTCTGTTGATTAAAAGGTACAATACCAATGATAACAATAACAATAATAGGTATTATTGATACTTATTAAGCATCTACTTTGTCTTAGACACTGTTCTAGACACTGTATACGTACTCCCATTTAATTTTAATAAATACTGTATTGTCAAATGTTTTCCAGAAAGTTCAGATCAAGTTACACACCATCTGCAATAGATAAGAACAGACTCACTGCATGTTTACCAGCACTTAAAAGAAAGTTTTAAAAAATCTGATAGGTGAAAAATAGAATAGTTTAATCTGCATTTCTATGATCACTAGATCTTGATATGTTCAGCACATTAAACATTTGTCTGACGGGCTACAAATATTTTCTCCCAAGTTGGTATAGCATTAAAAAAATAGGTTTTTATTGATTTTTTTTTTTTAGAGAGAGAGGAAGGGAGAGGGAGAGAGAGAGAGGAACATCAATGTGAGAGAGAAACACTGATCGATCAGCTGCCTCCCATTTACTGTGACTGAACCTCAAACCTGGGCATGTGCCCTGACTGGGAATCAAACCTGTAACCTTATAGTGCACAGGACGACACTCAACCAACTGAGCCACACTAGCAGGGCTGGTATATAGCATTTTCTTGATATTTTTATATAGTCGGGCCAATCTCTTCCTTTGTAATTTCTTCCAATTTTTATAAATAAAAGGTTCTTTTGTATCCCTAGATCAATTAAATTTTCAATTTTATTTTTTGTAATTTGTGGTTTTGTTTTTTTATACATGTAATTATTTTTCATTGCTGAATGCAGGGTAAAGTTTTCTTTTGCATAATCATGTCTCTGTCACTATTAATTGAATCAATTTTCCTTTCCCCACTGATTTATGATCTCATCTTTATTATCTGAAGAATTCTTATATTACTTGGGTATGTTTATTAGCTTTATAACTCTTTTTTTTTTTTTTTTTTTTAGCTTTATAACTCTTTCATTGCCTGTTGGTTTTGGTGAGAGTAGTAGTACACCTTTTTAAAATTTTTATTACTGGCTTCTATTCATCAAGAACCATCATATTCCCTTCTAGGAAGCCTCCATTTCCCCCCCTCCTCCCCCCAATGATTGCTGCCTCCTTTTTCACCTTTATAACATATAAAATTCTGCCTTGTATCACAGTTAACAGGGTTGCTCATATCCAATTATATTCTTGAGAGCAGGGAATAGGTGTGCTATATATATTCATTAAAATTAAGCTATGGGACTGGCATCAAATACTGTATTGTAAAAATGGTGTGTAGTAATGGCAAAATAGCTCTAGTTTGAAAAAAAAATTAAAATAGAAAATTCCCTCATTTGTCCAATAAACATCACTGGACTATATCCCTTATGAAAAGATAATAAAGGTGAGTGAACCTTATATCCTGCCTTAGGGAGTTTACCACTTAGTAGGGAGAAGAGACATGTAAAAATACAGTGTGATTAATACAATGTGATTAAGTAGCATTAAAAAAGCATGTACAAAGAAGGAGAAAGGAAAAAACGAAGGAAGTGAGTAGCGGACATACCTATGGGCCGGGTGTATGGTGCTTGTTAAATGTCAAAGGAATCTGCAATTAATCCGAATGACAAAGTGCACCCATTCAGATCTTTTAACAGAAGTTACATTAATTTACTCTTCATTCTGAGACCTTTATAAGGAAGCCTCATGTGGTCTGGGTAGTACGGGCAAGCTGAAGAGTAGCTCAGCTTGGAAGCTGCGGGCACGAACCTCAGATGACTAGAACGGGATACAAGTGGCAATTAGCCCATAGTTTGTGACTGGGTGAAAAGTAGACGTGGCGATAAAACATAAGCCTTCTGATCTGTAAACCACTTACATGAGTTGGTTTAAACGCTCTGAGGACTGACTCCTTGTCGTTTGAGAGTGCGCGCTGTTCCAGCCACCAGTCTCACAACCTCGCCCCGCCCCTGGGGCCCACAGAGAGCCCAGGCCAGAGGCTAGGGCAGGAACCACTGACGTCATCTAAACGTGACGTCATCAACACTGACGCGGTGTCGCGGGAGGGGCCTGTCAGCTCACCTCAGAACGCGGTCAGCTCCACGGAGCAGCGAGTTGGGCACTTGGCGCTCGGCCCTGAGGGTCCGAACACGCAGAGCCGCGGGACCTGAAGCGCGGAAGCTGCTTAGCAGCAGAGGGGCCGCCGCCCCCTTCCTGGGCCCTCACCCGCGCCCTCCGCGGTCCAGGCGCGGTCCCGGCGGCAGCGCGCTCCCCAGCCCGCCGCTGGCGGCGGTGACGCGCACGCACGCGGCGCGCACGTTGCTTGAGAACCCGGAAGTGCGAGGGAGAGCTGAGCCACGTGGGTGGAGCTGGAGCGCGGCTCGCATGGGGGAGTCTATCCCGCTGGCCGCCCCGGTGCCGGTGGAACAGGCTGTGCTGGAGACGTTCTTCTCTCACCTGGGTGTCTTCTCTTACGACAAGGCCAAGGACAATGTGGAGAAGGAACGAGAGGCCAACAAGAGCGCGGGGGGCAGCTGGCTGTCGCTGCTGGCGGCCTTGGCCCACCTGGCCGCAGCCGAGAAGGTCTATCACAGCCTCACCTACCTGGGGCAGAAACTAGGTACCTCCGCCCCGCCCCCCCGTGACCCTTGAGGAGGAAGGAAAGGGGGTATAGTCCCCTGTCGGCAGTGCCTTGGGTTCCGTTTCTGTCACTTCTAGGAGCAGGTCCTACTCGGCGCTCCCAGATCTCCTCCCACCGTTCCCTTCCTTCCCTCGGCTTCCACAAACCCCGCCCACCGGCCGCCGCTGCGGATAGATTGGCGGATGGGGTGGATGCTCTTTGCAGGGCCGTGTCCCAAACCGCTGGATGTATCTGTTTTGCCCAGTGCATGGATTGGTGCCATAAGTGAGAAGTTAAGCAAACTCTGTCCCCGCTCTTCTAACTAGTGACACTGCCGCCAGAGGAGCAAAAGTTGTTAATACCAACCCTAGTTGGAGTTAATGAACACAGTTGTCTGGCTTACGAAGGTTAAGGCCCCTGAGAGTTACAGATGGAGTCCTCTCTTCTCGTAGTCCCTCCGTAAATATTTAATGAACGAAGAAGTAAATGAATACTGGACAGGAAAGGCAAGAAATATGCCTAACATTGGCGAGAAGGGATTTACCGGGAAAATGGTAAACACTCTTATCATCCCATGATAAATCTTGCCCCTGAAAATAAGATGCAAAAGCAGATTCAATTAATTTAAACTAGCAGAAACAATGTAAGTAGATCAGAAGGAAATAATATATGTAAAAGCCAAGGCCTATGCATACAAGGTATTACTACTTATAATTATCAGTAATAAATATGAACCACAGGGCTTTCAGAGTTGTTTTAGTCCTTTGGCCTATTTTAGACCCTTTAATTGTCAGAGGCACAGGTTCTGGTATGAACAAAGGACACATAAATATAGAATAGAAATGTAAAAATTGCATGCAGATTCCATTTTGATTCCCCTCCGCCCCCAATTTCCTCATATTGCCTGAAGGTGCCCACGTGTGTACATCTTGTTTTCAGTAAACACTAAAGGAGCAAGTCTTCCTGAGATCTTAATTTCTGCCTTAGCTATTCAGCTGATAACTTGTTATTTAGTATGTTGACTCATTGGCAAAAACTGGTCAGATAGTTTCACCTTGTACATTTTTTCTTCCCCTTTTTACACTGGCACTTGTCACAGATTTCAATTGCTGTTGCAGTGTAATTAGTCCCCTTTTTACAGATTGGCAAATTGTGTACATGCAGTTGTGTGACAGACCCCCAACCAGAATACCTGCTTTTAAACTGTCAGATTGTATTTGTATCCATGATTTATTTAAAATTTTGTACATCTATTATGATTTACATATATATATATGTATTTATATATATGGGGAGGATTTCGACTATAAAATTGAAGGTAGGTAAATTTTCTGGCAGTTTTGTTGTTTATAGATTTCCCCCTCCTCCTGAAGTGTGGAGATTGACCCCAATGCCATGATTCTTAATTTTTTAAGCTTATCTATCAGAATTTCATTAAACCTGTGGGCTTATTCCCCAGAAAAATATACATGTAATACAGTTTTGCATATAATCTGAGAGCATTCAGTTAGATTTCCTAAAGCCTAGTTAGGCACCCCTATTTAAAAAGTTTGCTACTCTAGTTAAGTTGTATGTGCCTGGTTTTAGGTAAACAAAACTGGCTGTCCTGTGTATAAGATCATGTGTAAGACCATCATTGTCTCCAACTTGGGTTCTGTGAAGTGGGCCATATTATCGCTGTGATTGGTTCTGCGTGGACCTCACCTTGCATGGATGAGCTTGAGCACTATGCCTTGAAATTGACCCACAGAGCAATTTACACTGGGAAACATGGCCAGGCACTGTTCTGGCTCCCAGGTGACCTGTCACTTCTATTTACATGTATAGTAAATGTGTAGGTTCCAGATGTTAATTTTAACTTTGTAAATACCTTACAGTTTTTTGGTATTGGAATGTTTGTGATATCAACATGCTTATACAGTACGACTTCATGATTATTGGGTTGACTCTCCATTTTCTTTTAAGTCTTTATTGTTGAAAGTATTACATATGTCTCCCTTGTCCCCCTTCTTCCCCCATTGACCTCTCCTAGGCCCTGCTTTCACCACCCTATTGTCTGTGTCCATGAGTTATGCATATACGCGTACAAGTTCTTCGGTTGATATCTTCCCACCCACCCACCTTTCCTCTGAGATTCAACAGTCTGTTCCATGCTTCTGTGCCTCTGGATCTATTTTGTTCATCAGTTTATTTTGTTTATTAGATTCCACATATGAATGAGATCATGAGATACTTATCTTTCTCTGACTGGCTTATTTCACTTAGCATAATACTCTCCAGGTTCCTCCATGCTGTCTCAAAGAGTAAGAGATCCTTCTTTTTGCTGCTGCATAGTACTCCATGGTGTAAATGTACCGCAGCTTTTTTACGCACTCATCTACTGGTGGACACTTGGGCTGTTTCCAGATCTTAACTATTGTAAATTGCTCTTCTGTGAACATAGGGGTGCATACATTCTTTCTGATTGGTGTTTCAGGTTTCATAGGATATATTCCTAGAAGTGGGATCACTGGGTCAAATGGCAGTTCCATATTTAATTTTTTGAGGAAACTCCATACTGTTTTCCATAGTGGCTGCACCAGTCTGCATTCCCACCAGCAGATTCCCTTTTCTCCACATCCTCGTCAGCGCTTGTCATTTGTTGATGGTAGCCATTCTGATGGGTGTGAGGTGATACCTTGTTGTCGTTTTAATTTGCATCTCTCTGATGATCATTGAAGTTGAGCATTTTTTCATATGTCTCTTGGCCATCTGTATATCCCCAACTCTCCATTTTCTTAAAAAATGGTTTGTGTTGCCATTTGAAACATTCTCATGTTCTTCAACTACTTTGCTAATCAAAATGTTTCTTTTTAATACATATATATATATATATACATTTATTGATTTCAGAGAGGGAGAAATATAGAAACATCAATGATGAGAAGATCGTTGATCGGCTGCCTCCTGCACGCCTCCTAATGGGGATGGAGCCTGCAACCTGGGCATGTGCCCAGACTGGGAATCGAACAGTGACCTCCTGGTTCATAGGCTCGATGCTAAACCACTGAGCCACACCATCCAGGCTCTATGGTTTCTCTTTTCTTTTTTTAAAATATATTTTTGTTGATTTCATAGAGGAAGGGAGAGAGAGATGGAAACATCAATGATGAGAGACTCATTGATAGCTGCCTCCTGCATGTCCCACACTGGGGACTGGACCCGCAACCTGGGCATTTGCCGTAATTGAACCTGGGACCCTTCAGTTCTCCGGCTGATGCTCTATCCACTGAGCCAAACCAGCTAGGGCTCTATGGTTTTCTTTAAAAAGCAAAACAAAAAGTTTATATGTATTTTTTAAACATTTAAAACATGTTTTTAAAAAGTGAGTCTTTTTGACCTCACTCTGTAACTGGTGTATATTGGCGACCTTAGCAGTGAGTTCTGATTATAGATGTCTTTTGGACAAAGGACAGACCTGACAGGGAGCTTTCTGTTCCGGCCTTGGCTCACTTGTGAGAAAGTCTGGGTGGAGCCCTTGTCTTGGAGCCTTCTCTTGCCTTTGAAGGGAGAATATCTCTGTTTGGGGAAGGGTCAGTGACTCAGTGCCTGTGGAGGGTTTTAGAAAGTCATACTTTTGTCCCCTTTGTTTCATTACTGGAGAGTTTCCTCAGCCTCTGGCTGCTGGAATTTAGTGTGGTAGAAAATGACTTAACTTGAGAACTGACATTTAAAAATTATCAAGAAGTTGTAGAATAAAATTCCCAATTAGATGTTTTACATGCTCCTTAAATATACTTATACCTTGAAATTTCATGTGTGAGATAGACTGTTGAAATTTTGAGAAATAATGAGCACTCATAAATCAACATATTCATATTTTATAAATTCAAAAAATTGAAAAGAGAAAGAATTCTGGTATCTCTGGAACGCTAATCCTCATTGGATATTCCTAACCAGCCTAGTCAATAAATAGGATTGTGCTCCTGAGAGCTTTGAGAAGAGAGGCCTGGATAAAGAAATCGCATTGGTGGTCTGTCCCTTCCTTTTAAGTGTTACTTTACTTGTTACCACATACTAGTGATTGATGTTTATTGATAAGCTTTTAACGATGTTCTTTGTTTTCATGTCATGCTTAACTCCCCTAGGTAAGGGCAGTCTGATGAAAGAAGGTATCATGAAGGCCACACTGTTTAACACTGGAAGTGAGTACGGAGTTTGAGGTCACCTACCTCTGTCAAATAGATAGCTATTCTTTTTACAGGTCTTGAAACTCCCAATTTACCATAGAGTTTCAGAGGCCCAATTATGCAGTATTGAGCGTTTTCTCCTATCAGTTATAAATGGAAGGGAAAGAGGTTAGCATGATTGAATATGTGCTTTGCTCTAGGTACATTACATACCAAATGTTACTAATGTGCCTTCTTAGCAGCTTTATTACTAATTTTGCATTTAAAACAGTAACTAAAGTTCAGAGTAGCTAAGTCATTCCCACATCACACAGCTTTCGAGTATGGAAGCTGGGATTTAGAACCAAGTTGGTCAGAGTGTCGGAGCTTTTAGGTCTTAACATGGTACTCTTTATTACCTTCCTAACCTAAGAAATTTTGTCCTAGACCTTGGCACGGAGGTCTGTTTATTCTATACCGTCACTTTACAAAATCTGCAAAGCTAGACTAAGTGTGGGCACTGTACTCCAAGGTACAGTCCTGAATGGGATGTTGATGTCAGGGTCAACCCACCTGTACCTATGGATTTTGCTGCTATTAGGATAATATCCACGCACATCCTCACTTTCAAGAAATAGCATTCTGGGACTTAAACTATTCTTCCAATTCAGAATCCTTCTGTTTTGTCCTCTGATAAAAGGAGAGTTAAAGTAGATTTAAGGTCATCAAAAACAAGAACTGGCCAAGGGCTCATCACTTGTTTTTTTACATTTTCACTGCCATGAAACTGTCCATTTTTCTGTCCTCCAATCCAAACAGACAGTCATGGCCACTTATAAAATGAAGGATATAAACTAGGATATATTGACTGTTTTAGTGAACAGAATTTGTGAAGTGCTTCTGTTGCATTTGATTGACTTCTGACATTTCACTTTCCCAGATTATAGGAAAGATCTGTGTATGTAGTTGTTTATTTCTTTTACATTTTTTATTTTTCAGTTACAGTTGACATATTATATTAGTTTCAGGTGTACATCCAGTGATTAGACGTTATATTACTTACTAAGTGATCATCCCAATAAATCTCATCTGACATCATACATAATTATTAGAATATTATTGACTATATTCCCTATGCTGTACTTTTCATCTCCATGACTATTCTGTAACAATCAATTTGTACTTCCCAGTCTCCCTCCCAGCTGGTAACCATCAAACTGTTCTCTGTATTGATGAGCTTGTTTCTGTTATGATTGTTTGTTTATTTTGTTTTTTAGATTCAATTGCTAATATGTATGTATTTATTGCCATTTTATTGTTCATATGTTTTATGTATTTTTTTCTTTTTCTTCTTAAAGAAGACTAACATTTCATGTAATGCTGGTTTGGTGGTGATGAATTCCTTTGGCTCTTTCTTGTCTGGAAAGCTCTTATATGTCCTTTGATTCTGAATGATAGCTTTCCTGGGTAGAGTAATCTTGGCTTTTCATCACTTTAAATATTTCTTGCCAATCCCTCTGGCCTGCAGAGTTTTTGTTGAGAAATCAGCTTACAATCTTATGGAAGATCCCTTGTAAGTAATGAACTTCTTTTCTCTTGTTGCTTTTAAGATTCTCTGTCTTAAACCTTTTGCATTTTAATTATGATGTGTCTTGATGTTGGCCTCTTTGGGTTCATCTTGTTTGGGACTCTGCACTTCCTGGATTTTTATGTATGTTTCCTTCATCATGTTAGGGGAGTTTTTCCATCATTTTTTTTTTTAAACATAGGTTTTCAATTCCTTGCTTTCTCTTCTCCTTCCAGGACCCCCATGATACTAATGTTGGTATGTTTGAAATTGTCCCAGAGACTCCTTACATTATCCTCGTGTTTTGTTTTGTTGTTGTTTTTTTGGATTCTTTTTTGTTATTGTTGTTCTGATTGGATATTTTTTGCTTCCTTATATTCCAAATTGCTGATTTGATTTTTGCTTTCATCTATTATACTGTTGATTCCCTGTAAATTATTCTTCATTTTAGTTAGTGTATCCTTAATTTCTGACTGGTTCATTTTATGGTTTCCATGTCCTTTAATATGTTGTTGGCATTCTCACTAACAACCTTATAACCAGTGTTTTGAACTCTACATCTAATAGATTGCTTGACTCCATCTTGTTTAGTTCTTTTTCTGGAGTTCTGTTCTTTCATTTGGGATATGTTTCTTTGTCTCCTCATTTTGGCAGCCTCCCTGTGTTTGTTTCTATGTGTTAGGTAGAGCTGCTACATCTCCCGGACTTGGTAGAGTGGCCTGATGTAGTAGGTGTCTTGTAAGGTCCAGTGGCACAGCCTCCCCGTTCAACCAAGCTGGGCATTCCCAGTGTGTGTCCTCCCCACACCCCCAAATCAATGAGAGCGATTTACCCCCAGGTCAATCACTGCAAGGATTGGCTTTGATGACCCACCCCTGTGGAGGATCAGCTGTGCAAGGGCCCACTTCATAGATCTGAGCTTACTTCAGCAGGGATCTGGTGTCTGCTGAGTCTGCCCCTTCAGTGTGATGCTTGTGGAGGTGGTTGGATGGTGTTTCGATGTGGTCTGAAGCTGTCCACTGGTTGTGCTGGCTCTGGAGCCTCCCGGGAGTTGCAAGCCAAGGTCAACTGCTGCCTGAGTTCTGCCCTGGGCCACCCAGCATAAGCTATAAAGCCATCTGCAGATGGCTGCTACTTGTGTTGGGCTTGGAGGTGTCCAGGCAAGGCCAAGGTATGAACAAGGTCTGCTGCTGCTAGTGCTAGGTCCAGAGCCACTTAGTGAGAGGTATGGGGCACACTGAGGCCAGATGCTCTTTTAAGAGGTTATAGGAAAGCCTAAAGCCCGAGCCAAGACAGGCCATATGGAAAAGTCACTGGAAACAGCTTGGGTGGGGTAGGATTTCAGGGAATCACTAGGACAGGGTGAACAGTGTGAGCAAGGTTGATGGAGACTCAGATATGGCACCCTCCTGCTGGCTCTGATGGGGGAGGGCTCAGAAAAGAAACAATGCCCTCTGCGAGCACTTCTGTCTGGGAGAAAGCTGCCCCCTCCAGGTCTCGTCCTGATGCCAGACAATTCAGTTTCTCCCCAGTATATCCCTGGTGCCTTTCCAGATGCTGCCCCAGTGCTAGAACTCAGAGAGAGTGCCCAGATGAGGCCCAGCTGTGAAGCATTGCAAGCTGCTGTGGGACCTTGGGCCTTCTTTTGGATGTTCTGGGTCTCTCTGACTCAGCTGCAGTTTGTTAGCTAATTTTAGATTGCAAAGGGCCAGGCCATTCATATGCAAAAGCCTCTGGGTACAGCTTGGGTGGGCCGGGGTCTTAGGGAATCAACAGGGTGGAGCAAACAGCTATGGCTGATCCTCAGTCCTGCCCTAAGAGGCCCCAGGTCTCAGTGTCCCGGTAATCGCTGCAAGCACCTCTGAGAGAAAGCCGCCCTCGAGTTCCAACTGATGCCAGACAGTCCAGTTTCTTCCCGTATGAGTCTGGGTCCCCAGAGACTCACCCGGAACTGGAGTTCAGAGCAGTCGGGAGCTTGTGTCTCCTTCCGGATTGAAAGAGACAGCCGCGTCCTCAGTTGACAGCCCTTTCGGTGCACGCCTCCGTACCTCTGCACTTTACTTCTGCACCTCCTCTGAGTCTCAGTGTGCTTTTCTCTTTCCTTCTAGTTGTAGAATTTCCACTCAGCCAGCCTTCCTGTGGTTCTGGATGATGTTCGTTTTGTCTTTTAGTTGTAGTTTTGCAGTGGTTGTGCGAGGCAGCAATTTCAGGTGTTTACCTATGCTGCCATCTTGGTTTCCCAATCTCCTTTGTATTCTTAGTTGTAGGACTTTCATTCAGCTAAATTTCAGGTGGTTCTAAATGATGGTTGTTCTGTAGTTTAGTTGTAATTTTGATGTGGTTGTGGGAGGATGCAATAACACATTTACCTACACCACCTTCTTGACTAGAAGCCCAGATTCATTTCTTGAATCATAAGCTGGACAATGAATTAAAAACTTTGTGAAATATTTCATTCATTAAGAGGTTATTTTTACAAATGCCTTGATAAATAATTTTCATTCCTGATATTTTAGAATAGTAATAAATTCACTCATTAAAGCCTTCTGTGTATATCAATAGAAAATTTAAACTGTCACCCATCTCTGAGGTTTTTTTATATTTCCTAAGAATTACAGTTTTAAACTTGTCCTGTTTTTCTTTATTTTCCTAATGTCTTGCCTCTGACCCTTTGATGGTTAGCAGAATTGCTTAAGGCAACATTTGTGAAGCTGGCTTTATAGCTGTCAGAAATATAGTTGATCATGTATTAATATAGAAGTAAGCAAATTATATCTATGCCATTTGATCCTTTTTGATTATTGAAAAGGATAGACTTAGTCTTATATTTTGCTGATTTCCTTTGGAACCCCTGAGTTACAGTAGCAGTTATTTATAATTGCTTGTTGCTCTTAATGATTCACAATGTGCTGCTTATTAAAACCTATATTGTCAACTTTGGCAAGAGTACTAAGCTGTCCTTTTTCCCCCTGAGAGCCAGTAGTCTGTGTTCTTGTATGAGGGAGATCTTTGTGTATTTTCCATTTTCTGGTTTGAAAGATAAGATTAAAAGATGAGATTCAAAGGGAAATGTAACTCTAAAGCAGAAATAAAATTTGCTGATTTACTAGGAATAACAACAGTTTTTCATAATTGTATGTTCTTGTTTGTTTCAAATATATTTATGTGGAAGGAGGGCTTTTTAGATCTAGGATAATTATTCTCTGAAATGAATCTGAGTCCTCATTAAAGTGGGGTGGGTGGGAATTGGTGTGTGGGTAAGGAAACCAATCACAGGTCCATTGCTACACTAATGAGTGGTACCAGGCATTCATTTAACTTACTCTTCAGTGAAATTATCAACCTCAAAATATTTAAATCCCCAGCATAGAAGTTAGAGAATATGGTAGATGCAAACTCACTGAGCTCAGCAGGTTCAGATCCTTTCCTTTTGAATGCTGAGAGGTATTTTGTACTTCTGCTTTCTCTTCCTTACGTGTCATGTGCTTATGTCATTTGCCTACCAGGGGGCCAGTCTTTCTTCAGCAGGAAGGACTCCATCCGAACTATCTATACTTCCCTGCATAATGAGCTGAAGAAGGTGGTGACTGGCCGTGGCACCCTGGGAGGGACCGCTCCTCATGTGGAAGAACTCCTTTCCCACCTGTCAGAGCAGCTCTGCTTCTTCGTTCAGGCGCGGATGGAGATTGCAGACTTCTATGAGAAGATGTATACCCTCAGCACACAGAAGTTCATCAATGCAGAAGAGCTCGTTGGCCTTTTGGACACCATCCTCAAGAAGTACAGCTCCAGGTCAGTGTAGGTGAAGAAGGAGGGAGGGATAGAATGTGGCAGCCTCTGGATCCCACGCAGACTCTCAGTTTTCCCCCAAACTCTTATAAAGATCTATGATGAAAAAACAAAGGAGAATAGCTGTATTGCTTTTGTATAGATTAATTAATTGACAAGTATGCATTTGGCACCTTCTTTGACTTAGTTAATACCATCCTGGATGGATACTTTTCTAAGCAATAGTGAAAGACCAATAATGAAATAAGTCTTAAAAGATGTATTATAAAAAGAGTTTATACAACCAAAAGAGAATCCTATATAATAAAAGGCTAATATGCAAAGTGTCCCCTCTACCAGGAGTTCGACCAGAGGGTGGGGCTGGCTGTCCCCTCTCCCCTGCCGGCCAGACCCCACCTGTGCACAAATTCATGCACTGGGCCTCTAGTTATCTATAAAATAATGTGATTTAAAATTTTTTTTTAAAATATCTTTTTATTGATTTCAGAGAGGAAGGAACTGGGAGAGAGAGAGATAGAGACATCAATGATGAGAGAGCATCATTGATTGGCTGCCTCCTGCATGCCCCCCACTGGGGATCGAGCCTGTAACCTAGGCATGTGCCCTTGACCGGTATTGAACCTGGGACCCTTCAGTTCGCAGGCTGACACTCTATCCACTGAGCCAAACCACCTAGGGCTAATGTGATTTTTAAACAAACCACTGTTTGAATAAATGCCCTTTCAAAGTAATCACCTTGGTGAGTTATCCACTTATTCCTCTCATGTACCTGTTACTTACATGTGTTAGAAACTCCTGTATAATGGCTTTTGGCCTAGTGATTGCTTTGAAGGATACCCCTCTTTCAGATATATGACTTCCTATATGTTTGCCTAAAAGAGAAAGGTAGATATGTTAACTTATATTCCCAAATGAAGGATAATACTTATCTGATTAATGGTCTGGAGAAGAGAGGCAAAGTGGGGGGATTAAAAGAGATTTCATGGAGGACGTAGAATCAGAGATGACTTTTAAGGGCAGGTAGGGTTTTGAAAGCAAAGGTAGGAAAAAAGGGAGCAGATGCTTTGAGATGAGAAGGTGATTTCAGAATACTGAAAGGCCTCAGAGTGAGGTGCCTGCTGGTCTCTCTTCCTGAACTCTTGTCCTACGTGTCTACTCATCAGTTAAGTCTCAGTTCAAATGTCAGGAAAGCCTTCTCTTCTATCCTACCCTTAGTCACTCTTCTGTCCCCCTGATTTGTTTTCTTCACATTCCTTCTTGCCATCTGAAATTACTGTTATTTGCTCAGGGTGTGTTTTCTTTGCTCACAAGTAGGATGTGAGCTCCATGGCAACTTCTGTGTCTTTAGTGCTTTGAACAGAGCCTAGCATGTATAGGTGCTCAAAAGGTGTTTGTGGAATGAATAAGTGAATAGTTGATAGTGGGGAACCATGAAAGGTTTTTGAAGATGGGAGTGTTGTGTTCTCATCCTTATCAGTGACTACTATGGCACTGGTGGGTGGGATGGGATGGGATGGTAAAGGGAGTGGTCACAGGAGGGAAGGTTAGTTCAGCAGGCTAGTATGGTAATCTGATCAGTGATAGGGCCTCATGATTGCAAGACAGTGGAAAAGGAGATGAGGACAAGAAAAGTCTACAAGTCTTGGCAACAGGATAGTGGGAGTAATGAGACGTTTCTTGTCAAAGGTGATTTGGAGGTTTTGCCCCTTAAATGATAATATTATTTACAGAATTGAGAAGTCAAGAGGGGCTGGCTTAGAAGGAAGGTAGTGAGCAAAATTTAGAGCAATTTGAGCTTGAGTTGCTAGCATATTTTCAAGAAGAGGTTCATTTGGTAGTTGGAAATGGGGATCTAGAGCTCAGGTGAAAAAGCAGAAACAAAACAATGAGATCATCTGTGTGGAGAAGTAGACTTGTTTTTTGGTTTCAAAACTAACATATCAATGTTTCTGTTATACAACAGCAATTGATTTTTAAGCTTGCAGGAACAATGGGGGAAATATTTTTATGTAACTATTTTGAAGGAAACTAGTACATATTGAACAACTACTGTATGTCAGGTACTGTGTAATACTCTCTTATATGATATCTGCTTTGAGGTATAGGTGTAGATAGTTCTTTTATGGAGTCTCAGAGAAGTTAAGTATGCCCAGGGCCATGTAGCTTATCTTGAACTCCTTCTCTGTGACCCCAGAGCCCCTATTCTGTCTGTATGCATTATTGCTTGTATCAATAGTGAGATGCTCTTTATCCAGTCCAGGTAAATAATTCACCTCTGTTGATCATTTTGCAAGTCAATAAACAAGATCCGTTTTTATTTTTTGAATAAACAATAAGACAAAGTAAGATTATGAAGTAATAGTCTTCTGTGATAGTAAGATGGAAAACATTGTAAGCACTTACTAACTTCCCCTGCGAAGAATAAGGGTTGTGTACTGGACAAAATCATGTAATGTGCATCTTTTCTCTGAGCACAGATAGTTTGGTTAATATATTATGTTTTTATCCTTCCTTTATAAAGTTTTTTCCTAGTTTTTTTTAAATTTTAAAATTTTTACTCATCCAGAAAACTTGCAAGAATAGGATAATGTATATAGAATTGTAATATGACCAGTAAATTCCATTCCTGAATATATTTATGCCCAATGAAAAATACAAAATGAGAACATATGCCCACACATAAAAACTTTTACAGGAAGTTCATAGTAGTATTATTGGTAATAGCCAAAAGGTGGAAACAACCCAAATACCCATCAATGAATAAATAAATGTGGCATATCCATACAGTGGGGTATTATTCAGCAAATAAAAGGAATGAAGTACTACATGCTAGAACATGGGTGAACCTAGTAAAATTATGCTACATGAAGGAAGGCAGTCATAAAAGATTATATATTGTGTCATTCCATTTATATGAAATTTGTGCAAGGGGCTTGACCCTCACAGCCACAGTGGCTTGCCTTGGCCCTTGCAGCTCTGGCTTCATCCGGAAGGTCATTTGGAAGGACGTCTGGAAGATCATTTGGCTGTCCAGTCTAATTATCATATTATGCTTTTATTATTATAGGTAGATGTCCAGAATAGACAAAATCATAGACACAGGAAGTAGATTACAAATTTGTAGACACATTTTCTGTGAAAATTTTCTGGTTGCCAGGAGTTTGAGGGCTGGTGGAAGAATGGGGAGTGACTGCTAATGTATATATGGTTTCTTTTTGGGGCCATGATACTGTTCTAAAATTATATAGTGGTGATGGTTATACAATTCTGACTATATTAAAACCATTGAATTTTATACTTTAAAGTGTGTATGTTACATATATGAATTAAATACCAGTAAAACTGTTGCTAAAAAAAATTGTTCAATGAACACATTCTTTCTCTAGATTCACTGTTATTAAAATTTTGCCACACTTGCTTTATTTTTCTCAGTATATAATTTTATTTTCCTGAGTTGTTTGGAAGCCAAATGCGAACATCATGCCATTTCACTCCTAAATACTCAGTTGGATCTTCTATGAACCATACAAAACTATAACATAGTTTCCACACAAAAAATTTAACACTGATTTCTGCCATCATCTAATATAGAGTCCATATTCAGATTTCCTCAATTGTCCCCAAAATATTCTCCATAGTTGTTACTTATATTGTCTTGTATTTTTGAACTTGTGATATAGTCTAAATTTTCTTTTTATTAATTTTAATAGGTAATACATGAACATGGGTCAAAATTTATGAAACACAAAAGAATTCATAGTGAAAAGTCTACCTGCTGCTCCCTGTCCTTTGGCTACTTAATTCCCTTCCTAAGAAGCAATAAATGTTAGCAAGCTCTTCCTGTCATGCCAATAGTCCATGCATATAAATATACACATTTTCTTTTTATAAACAAACTAGAGGCCCGGTGCATGGATTCATGCATAGGTGGGGTCCCTCAGCCTGGCCTGCGCCCTTTTGCAATCCGGGACCTCTTGGGAGGATGTCAGACTGCCGGGTTTTTGCCTGATCCCCGCAGGCCAGGCCCTACGGGGATCAGGCCGAAACCTGGCAGTCCGACACCTGGCAGTCCGACATCCCCCCCAGGGATGTAGCAGTGCTGAAGTGGCAGGTGGCCAGGGAAGAGCCCCAGCTGTCACCGCCCGGTAGCACTGCCAAAGAGGCAGGAGAGGCTCCCACCGCCGCAGCTGCGCTCGCCAGCCATGAGCCCGGCTTCTGGCTGAGCGACACTCCCCCTGTGGGAGTCACTGACCTCCAGGGGGCAGTTTCTGCATTGAGCGTCTGCCCCCTGGTGGTCAGTGCACATCATAGCAACCGGTCGACCAGTTGTTTGGTCTTAACGGTTGCTTAGGCTTTTATATATATAAATTTTACATGTGTACAAATTTTCTGTTTGTAAATGTATTCTTTCTCAAATCTGATTTATATATGTATATATTTATTTAAATAAAGTAATTGTTTGAAAACCAAAAACTAAAGTACAGTTGGAGATAATGATTCTCAAGGGGAAGAGATCTCATGTGGTGATTCCTAAAGCTAATGTGAGAGTAGTTTGCTGACCCATCTCAGAGCTTAAGAAAATACTAATTCCTGGGCCCCTCCTCTCTTTCCCTAAGAGGGTAAAATTTAGTGATTCTGGATTGGGTGCCCCGAAATGTGTATGTTTTAAAAGTTCCCTGTGATACTGATATATAGTCTGCATTAAAATAATTGTTTAGAAAAATAGGAGAAAGATGCCAACACTGGTATACACGGAGTATTGAACCTTACAGATGTATGTGCATGGGTGTATGTGTGCATGTGTGTGTCTCCTAGGAATGATTTAGCTGTTTTCGTTTTTATTATATTAATTTTGTGACCTATCTATCATCTTTGAATGTTCTTTGAAATATCGCTCTTCTCAAAGGCTTGCAGATTTCTCCCATTTTCTGCAAAAGCCTGAATTGCATTCTTGAAACTCCAAGGGCAGCACTTGGCTGTGCCCAGCAGCCTTCTGATGGGAT